ACAAAGAGAGAGCCTTAAGGTCCTCCCTCACGTTTCCAAAGCCTCCCTTGTTACAGCTAAATTCCACACAGATGTGTCGATTTCTCTCAATTCGACTTTTTAGCAAAACTGGATTTTGCATTTTCCCATTTCGGGATGAGAGGAAATTCGCCCAGGTGACATTTCTTTTCTGCGGCTCTTTTAGAAAATTCACTTTCGCTAAAGCGATCATTCTCGAGCTTTTAACCTTCTTGCGCTTCTTGCGCTTGTTGTCCGAGTTAAGGGTGGGGCACGCGATTTTCTCCTCTCGAATAAAGAAGATTGCTATTTAGAAGACAGCCACGCTTGTTGGTGCAAAATAGTAAAAGTTGCGCATTTATCAAGTTTGTATTCAAGATCGTAATCGACTTAATAATAAGGGGACACCCTTAAATCTAGATTGAATGAATGGCAAAGGAAATGTATCAAAAATCCCATTAGGGTCATTTCTTGTCAGAAATTACTCAACGCCGTCAATAATTAATTTAACTATAATTCTATCCGTAACCCTTTCCTCTTCTTTTTCTCAATTACAACCGATTTTTCGAGGATGAAGAAAATGAAAAAAGAGGAATACAAAATCGAAGTATCCCTGTATAAAAAATACGTTTTTTTTATATTCCTTATCATTTTAATTTGCGCAGCCGCTGTTTTGTGGGAAAAAATAAGGCACGAAACGTATATAAGAGATTCTGAAAGAGCCAGGAGACTACAGGTTAGAGCCTTAAAAAATTAAGGATGTTAACTCCTTTATTTCGCATTTTGGGTTTTTTTTCATTTTTTTGGTCAAATATTTCTTGAAAATTTACAATTTTTGAGGGAAAAATAAAGGTTAAAGTTTCTTTTCGCCCGAAAAAATTAAGGGTGTCACTGTGTTATAAAGAAAAACGCCCCTAAAAGAACTATTTAAGGGTCTTTTGAACGATCATTGGATGAAAAACCACGATGGTCCTGGAAAACACGGAAACGAATAATTTAGATTTAGTCAATTAACAATTGTTAGTTTGAAAAGTTGCAAATAAAAAGTATGAGTTTCAGAAGAATGTGGCTTTTCCCGCGTGTTTTTCGCATAGGTAGTACTTGAGCAAAAATAGCAGAGCTCTTCTGAGAGGAATCTTGCTCAAGTCAGCTCGACAGGTCGGTTCCTGCTCAACCAGATTCTCGAACATGACACGTGCCCAGTTTTTTCTTTCCATCGCTCACTTTTTTTCGATTTTTGATGAATTGAAAAAAGCCGCTTTGAACTTTCCTCACACATGTAATGTATCTAACCTCGACTTTCACGCGAAGAAACGAGAAAACGAGTGATAATGAAACTTCTAACGAGCCATAACACCGCCACATCAATTCCCAACCACCTTAATTTGATAAAGAAACGTCCTTATCAGTACTCTTTTTGGGCTAGAAAACAGCTTGAGAGAGCCGGATATGTCGGCCAATTCGAGCGGGAATTTCAAAAAGACAGTTTTTTGGGGTCAGTTTTTCGATATTGAAATGTCTAAAGTTAATTATTACTTGTGTCCGATCCTTGGTAATTATGTCATCTCCTCACTTGCGCTCCTAACATCCGGAGAGCAAATAATTATGCATAGTTTCAGTCATAAACAGCGAAACAGACGAAATCGCGCAAGAATATCATTGTTAAAATGTATTTTTTGTTACTTTTTATAATTTCAAGAGCCAAGAGTTGTGACCTTTTTACTGTGGAATGCTTTGATTCTGGAGTGGTTCTTACACTGGTAAAGTTAAAAATTTTTATTGAAAATGATTTAAATAAAAGGACTTGGTTTGCAACGCTTATTTGGATAGTCCAATTGAAAGTCTTGATGAAGTATTTCTGACTAAGAACTCTGAGAATACGACAATCGCATCAGAGTGCGCTCTTTCCAATACTGGCGAGCTGGAGTACTCAAAATGCTTCCTGGAAAACAACTCAAATCAAACTTCCCGAATTCTTGAAGCAAAAAATGTTGGAGACCAGTTCCTGATCGCGAGGATTTTTCAAGAGATATTTTGCCAGCCCACTATTTCAATCAAAGATGAAAAAGATACCCTCCTGCTGTCCACAGACAAAGTTAAAGGCGGACCAATTGATGCTCCTGAAGTACCGATGAATATAACTGGTGGGGATGAGCTTGGTTCATTTGTTTATGTTTCTATCGATTACTTGTCTGATGATGGTCTTTATGGCCGAGAATTTCATGAGTGTAACATGACGATTGGCGATTTGACGATAGAGATCCTTGAAAACTCTGGAATAACCAGAGTTGCAAATTTTTGAAAATTTTTTCTGAGCTGAGCTAGCTGAGCTGAGGTCGAAATTGAGCTGAGCTGAGCTGAGCTGAGCTGAATTTTTTCAAAAAAATTGAGATGAGCTGAGCTGAGCTGGGGCATATTTGAAAATTTTTGAGCTGAGCTGAGGTTAAAATTGAGCTAGCTGAGCTGAGCTGGCTCTTTTCGAAAAACTATTGAGCTGAGCTGAGCTGAGCTGAGCTAGCTGAGCTACAGCTCAGCTCAGCTCAGCTCAGCTAGCTCACAAAATTTGCAACTCTGGGAATAACAAACGATGGATTGAAACTAGGAGGAGAATTGATCTCTCCAACTCAGTTTCGATTTAGAAGAGTTTCTAATCGCGTTGATGTCGCCTCATCTTTTGATATTGAGGTACTTTATTATGATGTCATTTAAAATTATTTTGGTAGTGCTCTATAAATTGGAAGCAGATTTACTGGAAGTTTATTGATTCTTCTCCGGTTGCGCCCCAATTCGGTCAACTAATAGGAACGTCAACTGCTGCACTGCACTTCACAATCAGTGTTGATGTTCTCTGCGAAGATTCAATGCCTTCGGGGAGTTATATAAGCATTTTATACGTCACAAATGGAGCTGATTCGGGCAATATCGGAAACCGTGTATTGACAATATGGAGATCCCCTTCAAATTATAAATATCATCTGGCAGTTAATCAGCCAAATTTGGAATACAGTCAACACTCTATCGAGAAGCCTTGTAATCAGGGAGATTGGAATATCTTTACTTTGGAACTCAAGCCAAGAGTATTTTTTCGAGCTAATAAGGGGGTAGAGCTTGCATTTCAAAAAAGGCGGGTTTTGACTGGCGCTACGGACAAAAGTCGTCGTCATTTGCCCAAGTCGTCATCTGCCTAACTTGGGCAAATGACGATTATGGGTAACCGTGGGGAACGGCAGCAGATAATAAATACTCTTATCCTGGGCTCAGAAACCTGTGCAAAAAACCAAAATCACCTTTTAAAAGATCTTTATTGAAAAGCTGCTTAGCTTATTTGATAGGCTTAAAAAGAGCTAGTATATTAATTGAGGCGGCTTTTATCAAAGATTTTTCATTCCCCGACTCAGGATTTTTTGCACAGTTCTCTTAGCCCACCTCTTATGAAGCCTACTGCTGACAGTAATGTGCTTCAGTATTCATTGAAGATGGATGCGACGGTCGTGTTGGATGGATCTTACGACGTATCGGGTGCATATTCTTCTGGCCCTTTGTATTTTTATGCCAGCACTCCATTCCAATATTCCTATCAGGATGTGACCTTCTTCTTTGACGCAGGAACATCTTTTCTCGTCAAAAATCTCATTTATACTGTTAATTAATACTCTGCACAAGTAATAAAAAATACTTAGCTAGTAAAGAAATGCCAAGAAAAATTCGATGGCGGCGCTAAAATTCGATTTGGTAATGTTTATATCTCGTTGTGGAAGGGATGATTTGGACAGCTCCTGTGGCGATTAACATTCCTCAAAATGCAAATTGCTTCGCCGCGAAATTCCGAAATCGTCCCTTCTTTTTTCCTTCGCTTCTCATAAATCCTGCCAAGAAAACAGCGCTGTCCGTAATAATTAAGGCCCTCCCAGTCATAACTCGAACCTCCAGCGATAAGAAGAAAGAGAGGCTCATACGTACAAATCGACAAAGAAAACAGCAAAGAAAAGCTCTTGTCAAGTTGGGCAAGTGTTTTTCGAAAAACGCCGCGCTAGAATTTGCAACACGAGTGTTCATTAAAATAAGGCGGCTTTATTGTTTTAGCGAGAGAAAATTATATCTCGGCGGGAGATTCGCTCTCTTATCAGCCGCCCCCTCTTTTTCGGGAAATTTTCAACTTGAAGCAAGAAAAGTAATTAAAAAATGATGATGTTAAAACAGCTCGAGATCTTGGAATTTGGGGCTGGAGGAGTTGTCAAAGCGGTTTTAAAACTTGCGCCGAACATATTTTGAGGTTCGCGCAAAAATACAAAATCCAAATCAGCGAGTTACAACTTCTTAGTGTGGTCAACTGCCAGCATATGCCTGGGTAGGTCGGGCAAAGGGTGAAAGGGTGAGGGGTTCAGACATTTAGAAAATGATGTCAACTGAAATTCAGAAAGGTGAAAGGTATTAAAAAGCTGCTCAGATTTGAGTCAGAAAGATGAAATTTCATTTTTTCGGAATGAATTATGAGACTTACAGAGTGACACCCTTATTTTATAGAAACAATTTATTACAGCTTACAAGCTGATTTCAGGGTGATACCCATATTTGATGATTAAAGAAAATAACTTTTTTCAAGCTTTAGAATTAAAGAAGTAATACCCTTAATTTTTCAATTCAGAATTAAGATCCATCGTTTTGAACAATGATAAGGGGTAAACAGAGATAAATAAAGGGTTTCTCTTAGCAATTTTAACAAAAATCGACTCCCTTAAAAATTCGTTTTGAAACTTTTCCAGAGTCCACAAAAAACAGCCTTGATCCACCTCAAAGCCGCCCTATTTCCTGACCTTGATGAATAATAGCCATTTTTGTATACACTCGGTGTTTTTCTGTTTGGCGATAACATTTTCACTTCAGCTTTTCTAAAACTCTGTTTTGCGCATTTTTTGAACAGTTTGTTTCAAAACACCCGAGCCGCCAAACAAGAAAAGGTCAAAAAAAGAGAGAAGACGAAGAAGTTGAGCTACTTTTATTATTCAAAGCATACAGTAGCCGTCAGGAACGAGAATGGCAAAGGGATCGTCCCAGTATTCGAGTGAAGGTAAGTTGTCGAGATCCTCGCCTTCGATTGAAGTGAAATCTTCGTTGAAGGTAAATTTTGTAAATTTCCAGTAAAATCTACCGCCAAGAACCATCGCCTTTTTTGGTTATAAAAGAGGATACATGAGATACAAATCAAACCTCATTATTTGAAAGCATCACGGATCGAGCAGAATATCGGCCATAAGCGACACTTTTGCCTTCAATGTATGGATCCCATGGAACGTCTCCAATGTGAGTCCACTCGTCGTTGTTAAGTCGCCATACTTTTGTACTCTCACTGTCGATGATAATTTTAAGGGACTAGTTCTTCACTTACGTGTGGCCGGGAAAGATGACCACTCCGAAGTCTCCCCAAACAGCGGTATAAAAGTAGGCTTCGTATTCAGGAAATTCAAGGCCTTCATCTTTTATCCAGCTAGAACTAGTCGGGCTAAAATAAAAATCGCTAAAAAAAAGTAACTGTCATACGACCTGTAGCGTTCAACAGAGTTAGTTCTGTCTCCAGCTATGAGGATTGGGTTCTTGTCATAAACAGGAACATGTCCACCGGTGAAATAGTGAGCATCCGCTGGTGATGGATAGTTTGTCTCAAGGATTGTCGAGCCGTCATAGCTGAATTTAAAAAGAATGCATGCTACCCCGCTGTTTCAATTAAAAAGTACCCTTGAACGATGTTCTCGTATCCGTGGTAAAGCATTATGTACGCCTGTGGATCGTCCTCAGTCGGCAAGTATCCAACCGCTCCGTACCAGCAGCTGAAATCAAACGCCGCTCCTGAAGCTTTCAGAATATCGCAGCCATCAAGAATATGAGGTCCATAATTGCGATAATCGTCGCCCAACCAACCCCCGAACAAGTAATTTTGGCCTTTGTATAAAACTAAAATAGGAGTTCAGAACTATCATCAGATCAGTTTTTTAATTTTTTTATGATCGAGAACTCAAACTGAACATCCAGAAGAAGAGTGAAAATCCTCATTATCAGGACCATTGTTGTTCAAAGAAATCTGGAATATTTTGATAAAAGATCATGAAAAAAAAGTGTTACTTTTAAATCTTGGGTGAAGCTTTGAAAATTGGCAAGCGCAGGCTGCTCCGAACCCTCAGCGAAAATAATCAAAACAGAGCTGAGCTCATTCGCGTTTTCGCAAAGAGGGTGCTCGCAATTCAAACATCCTTCCTTGCAGTTTTCTCCGCATGGACAGTTGGCTCGGCAATCTACAATCGTTTTCGAGTCATCTAAAAGCTAGAACCTCTTACTTTCGTATTCCCGATCGCAGATTGAGAGACAATACTCAGTTTCGCAGAGAAGTCGACATCTGCTGTAGTCGATCCTACAAGCATCATTGCATTCCGACTGTAACTCTGCGTCCCTTTTAATCAGATTTACTTCTTATAAACACATTTTTTATCTCACGGGCATGTTCTCGGAAGATGACTTGAGAAGGGTTCTCTTGAAAAATTTTGAAGAGACGATAAATCCATTTTAAAAATTCTCTTTCGATTTTCATCGCTGAAAAGAGCAACAGATGAATTTTTCTCAGAGTAAATTCTCATGCAGGAAGTTCACCAGTTGACCTGTTTTTTTTTTATTTGCTGTTATATGAATGAAAGCAAGCAGTAATTATCAGGTACAAGAATGGCAAAAGGATCACCCCAGTAGTTGAGTGAGGGCAAATTTGACAGATACTCGCTCTCAATAGAAGAAAAGTGGTCGTTGAAAGTGAATTTTGTGAACTTTTGATTTTCGTTTCCACCAAAAACCATCGCCTCAAAATTCGAAAGCAACACAGCTCTTGAAAACCTGAGTATTGATTTCCTGAAAATATTTTTTTGCGAAAAAACCGCTCTTCTTTCAAACCATGGAAGAGTTCCAATACTGGTCCATTCATCGTCGCTTAGTCGCCAAATTTCACCAGTTTCACTGAAAAAAAAAAATGCATTTTTCATGCATTAACTGTTGACATACGTATTTCCGGGAAAAACAACAACACCAAAGTCGCCCCAAACAGCAGAGTAGGAATAAAGATTCTTTTCCGGAAATGCGATGTTGTCATCTTTCACCCAGCCATTGAAGGGACTGTACCGTTCGACAGAAGCAGTCCGGTATCCAGCGATCAGAATCGGGTGATTTTCATACAGAGGAATTTGTCCGCCGATTTCACGATGAAAGTCAACTGGTGGTGCGAAATCTATCTCAAGGATATTTGAGCCGTCATAACTTAAATATAGAAATCATGATGAAAATTTAGTCCTTATTGAGATTACCCTTGAACGCTATTAAAACCATCATAAAGCATAATATAATCTTCTTGATCTTCTTCACTGGGCAAGTAGCCGACTGATCCATCGAAACAATCGAATTGAAAAGAAGCGCCTGGGGCTTTTAGAATCTCACAAACATCGAGAACATGAGGTCCGTAAGTTTTCTCTCCGTCTTGATTTTCAAACCAACCCCCGAATAAATAATTTGTGCCTTTGTATAAAACTGAACAGCCTTCAGCAGCGAAAAATTCCTGATTATCTGGGCCGTTGTTGTGCCAAGAGATCTTGATTGAATGATAATTCAAAAATAGTTAAAAAATAGTACTTTTAAATCTTGGTTGAAGCTTTCAAAATTGACGAGCGCTGGCAAATCACGACTTCCGCCATGCATAATCAACACAGAACTCAGCTCTTTTCCATCTTCGCAAAGTGGGTGGTCGCAGTTCGCGCATCCTCCTTGGCATTTTTCGCCACATGGACAGTCGGCCAAGCAACCTCAATTATCATTTGGACCCTTTCTCTTTGGAAAGAACTCACTTTCATATTCTCTGTCGCAAATCGCTTGACAGTACTCATTTTCACAGAGTAATCGACATCTAGTGTATTCAACTCTGCAACCATCATTGCACTTCGACTGTAGCTCCTTGTCCCTTTGTTAAAAAAAAGTTTTGAGTCAAATTTTTTTTTCAATTTTCTTACGGGCATGTTTCAAGAAGAAAAGATTCTCTTGAGAAACTTTCAATAAGCGATAAACTCATTTTGAATTTCTAGCTCATTGTTGAGATTTGACGTTTCAATTATAGCAGCAGCTGAGAAATTCTCAAAGTTTACTCCTTTGCGAATTTTTTACACAGTTTGTTTCAAAACGCCCGAGCCGCCAAACACGAAAAGGTCAAAAAAGAGAGAGATGAGCTTTGATAAGCTGAGGAACGGGAGCTCAGTCGGCTGGAACTAGGCTCTTGTTCTAAACAGAAAAGTACAAGGAGTGATCTTTCTTTGAAGATTTTCTTTCGCTGGCAATAAATTCCAATAAATTTACATTCATTGGAACTTCGCAACCGAGATTCTTTTTGGAAATTTTAGGAAATCGCTAATGAAACTTTTCCGGTGACCAAAATGGACTTGTTATCGCCGATTTTGCGGAAGCATTAGTTCAATTTAAATTTAGTTTGAAAGATCATTTTTTCAAGAAAAAAAAATCGTGAAATTCGGAAGCAGATTTTGTTGGCTGAAAATTAATTTCGGCTAAAATAGCGGAAATGCATGCGCAAGGCGATATTTTCTAAAGAGCGGCGGAATCCGGTCGGCATCCGCCCGGCGGCCTTGTCCGACTGGATTTCCTAAACGAACAACAAAAAGAGCCAAAAGATCCAAAAAAGTGTTTTGGAACACGAGCGCTTCTTCTTTTTTCTTTGATTTCGTATTTTGAAAATTTGAAGAAAATTTTTTTCATCCCTTTTTTGTTTCTCGTTGTGTATTGCGGGAAATTTGCTGCGTACGGTTTCTGTTTACAAACTGAGCTGGATTAATTTATCTCGTGCTTTGGATGTTGGCCGCGGCGGGGCTTGAAAAGGTGTCGGACTCATCCCATTAGCAGCGCAGGGACAGGCGATAAATATTTGACGGAAGGCTACAAACGCGCTCTGTACTCGTATCGATTCAGCCCGCTGCGGGAGTCGAGAATTATCAAAGCAGCGATTTTGCGTTTTTGCGGAGGGTTTTGCAAATTTGGAAGATTGCTAATTGAAGGCGGAAGTCTCCTTATCATGTATTCTTTTTAATAATTAAAGCATACAGTAGCCGTTAGGCACAAGAATTGCATAAGGATCATCCCAGCTCGAAAGCGACGGTAAATTGTCGAGATCTTCGCCCTCGATCGAAGTAAAATTTTCATTGAACGAGAATTTCGTGAACTTTTGACGGTCTTCTCCGCCAAGAACCAGAACCTGAAAATAATTGTAGAGCTAATAAACCTATCGAATCTAAACCTCATAATTTGACAGAAGAACAGCTCGCGCATAAGGTCTATCATTCCATTTAGTTATTCCAATGTTAGTCCATTCATCGTCATAAAGTCGCCAAATTTTGTTTTTTGATCTCAAGAAAGAAGTTAAGTTATTATTTTAAATTTGAGCATACGATGAAAATCCGGGGAAAATAACAACTCCGAAGTCCCCCCACACAGCGGAATAGCAATAAGTCTCCGCCTCTGGAAACGCAATTTTTTGGTCCAATATCCAGCCATCTGATGGACTAAGAATTACAAAAAGCAAAAGGATACGGAAAAAAGTACCTGTATCGTTCGACGAAATTCGTGGCCGACCCATGCTCGGTCTTTCCACCAATAAGAATCGGATAATCTTTATACACCGGAATTTGTCCGCCGATATATTGATGATAAACCGCTGGCCTTGGAAAGTCTCTTTCCAAGATTTTTGAGCCGTCATAGCTTGATTTTTCTAACATAAAAATGACGAGAAAAAGATTACCCCTGAACATTTCCATCCCTTTTCCCATTATAAAGCAGGATGTTAGCTTGCGGATCTTCCTCGCTCGGCAAGTACCCCACTGCTCCATAATAGCAATAAAAAGAAAAAGAAGCCCCTTCTGCCTTGAGAATTTCGCAGCCTTCAAGGACATGTGGTCCATGATCGTCGCCATCGTCATAGTTCACAAACCATCCTCCGAATAAATAGTTTTTCCCTTTGTAAAGCACTGAACATCCCTCATCGCTGTCAAATCGTCGATCATCTGGGCCATTGTTAAATTTTGAAATCTAAAATCAGAGTAAAAATTTTTCACTGAAAAAATGCCAGACTTTCAAGTCTTCTGTGTAACTGTTGAAATTCACAAGCGAAAGATTTTTCTGTGAGTAATGCATGATCAGGACCGAGTTGGCTTCTTCTGCATTATCTCCACAATCAAAATTCGGGCAGGGGCAGCCATCAGGACAGCCTTCTTCGCAAGGGCAATTCAAAATGTCCTGTGAGTACTGAACTGTGCAGAGACTAACGCAGCTTGAATTCCCGCCGCAGTTTTGTATGCATTCGATCAGTTCTCTTTCAAACTCAGCTAGGCATTTTACATGATCCTCATTTTCTTCAGGAAACGCGCAGGCATTACAAATGTCGGCAGAACAATTCTCACAGCCGAGAATACAGTCAGTGTGGCAAGGACATCCGTCAATACAGTCGAACCCCTCCCTGACGCAACCACTCTCGCAGGAAGCATCATTAGAGCTACAGTTGCTCAGGCAAGACAGAAGGCTGCTTTCACACTCTCCAGAGCAGATCTCTCCAAGATCAAGGTCCGTGCATGTTTCATTTTTTCTCTCACTCGCGAACGAAAGTGATTCTCTTGAAAAATGGTCGAAAATTGACAGATTCATTTTTGACAAACTCTTTTTTCTTTTGCGAACTTTATTTCTTGGCTGGCAAACAGATGATCGATTCTCAGAGTAAAATTATTATGAATTTGAACTTTTGAAAACTGATAAACTCGGAAATTTGCCAATTTTTAAGTTGATCAATGGTTCTTGACCTTTTTGTGGTTTGGAATTTGTTGAACGTTTTGGTTAATTGATGTGAAGTAGTCTTACGCGGCGCTGAATTGCTCTGACAGGTGCCGAATTAAGTGCCCAGCGCCGCACAAGCAAAAATAACAGAGTGTGAAATCAGCTGCTCACCGCTCGGTCAACCTTTTAAAATCGAATAGAACTGAATTGCCGTTTCTTCAAATTAAGAGCATCTCGAATTTCAATTTTCGAGATTTTCAATTTCCAAGTTTCAATTTTTTTTTCTAATTTGGCAGAAAATTTATTCTTTCCCACGGAAACAAGGTGCAAAAGGCGGAAATCGCGGTTTTAGAGGGGGAAAAACGGGATTTCAAGAAAGGTCAAGCTTGTCGAAGAAATTTTACAAAGAAAAATAAACAATTTTCTTTCAAAAAAATGTCTCAAGAGTGTCTGCCAGACAGCTCCTTTCTAGGTCGAAGATTGTCAGTAAGACTTTTGTAAAAGAGCCAAAGATTGGCCGGAAAAAATATAAATTTTCGGCCTTCGAACAGCCATAACTCACGTGATACTCTTTGAAACCAGATGATCCAAGTATCAATGGAAAGCTCAGATTCTGAGGATTGGGGGAAAGCAAAAATTTTTCCGAAAAATCGGTTTTTGCTGATTGGCCAAAAAATTAAAATATTAATTTTCGCTATTCAGAGTCGATTTTTTTCAAATTTCTTTTCTTTCCCCCAATCCTCAGAAGCTGAGCTTTCTAAAAATATATCAATCACGTGATTTCATCATCTGTCACGTGAGATATGGCAGTTCGTAGAAAATTCATGAAAATGGCCTCAGAATCGCCCCAGGCTATGAAAAAAAGTTTTTTTCAGGTGTTTTCTAGAGTTTAGACGATGACAAAAACGGTCAAGATAATGATTTATCCCCAAGTTAGAATTTTTGTCAAAATTGAAAATTTATATTTTTTCCGACCATTGTTGATTTTTGACTTTGAAACGAGCGCGCTTCTTTCTCATTGGCTTATTTTGCGCTATTTTTATTTAAAAATCGACAATCTTGGGCCTGATTTGGAAAGTTATATTGACAATATTGGGAAAAGGATTTTATTGTTATGTAGTATTTTCGTCGAAAAAACCGGCTCTAGAATGTGATCACTTGTGAAAATCCCCTTCCGCGGCAAAAATATCGCTCTGACGTCGCTCGTCGCTGATTAGATTGTCTTCAACCTTTTCCAGCTAAAAAATGATAAAAAAACTCGTTAATCCTCTATTACCGCATCTCGAGTCGACTGCCCCGGCTTCTAAGTTTGCCGTTTTTCGAGTCTCTCTTCCTGAGAAGTTTGCGCTGTCCGGATGGCTTTTTTCTCGAAAGAAACGGAGAGGCCTCACCTTTTTAGAAGATAAGGTGATAAGGCCCGGCGATTAGTGTTGTTAGGAAAGCAGGTGACTGGAATACGTGGGTACGTCCTTAATCCTCAAAACAAGCAACTTCGCGGAGGAGAGTCGAAATAACCGATTAGCCGTGGATTAATACCGGAAGACAGCTTCCAAGCAATTATGCAAAATGAAGATTTGAAAATCGCGAATTGCGAAATTTTCGAAGTCTTGGAAGTTCCAATTTCGCGACTCAAGTGAGCTCAAAGAGTGCTCAGACGACCACTAAACTTTCTACGCGTTTTCATGAATGTTGATTTTCCCAATTTTGGTTTAAGCGAGAAGGTCGATTGCTGTTTGAGTTTTTGATAAGTAGGTTTGTCGGGGAATTGACCGAAATCTGCTTGCCGCCAAGGATAATTGACTGATTGGCGAAAATTTCATAAGGCGTGCCCTTTTTTGGGATCGATAGGACTTTTAAACGAATTGAGGCGAAGATGGATCGGCCTCAGGCGAATTGCTTTAATGTTTTTATTTCCTTTATTTGGTCAGACAGGGTGTCTAGACGGAACAGTAATTGTTTTCCACAAAAATGGCATAAGGACCATCATACTCGACAAGAAGAGGAAGATCTTGGAGAATATCTCCTTCGATCGAAGTAAAATCATCGTTGAAAGTGTATTTTACAAATTTATGGTTTTGGTGACCACCAATCATCATGACCTCAACAATTATATCTAATGACATATTCATCTTAACTAGAGACCTCATTGTTTGGGAAAAGAACGGCTTTAGGAAATCTTCTTGTCACTTCAAAGTCAGCAGTTGGTAATTTCCCAATGTTCGTCCATTTGTCATCATAAAGTCGCCATATTTTTTGGTTAGACCTAAATATGGTGGCGGGTGGCATCGGTACAAAAGTGTAATTGATATCTTGGCCCACGATTCGTGGGTTCAAATTTTGTACCCCAATTTCCAGCCTCAGTTTTGCACAATTTGGTCAGAAATAAAAATCAAAAAATGGTTTTTTTCTCGCTAGTAGGGCTCACTCATTTGATTATAACGTTTTAGGAAAATAGTGAAAAAAATTTTAGCAAGCTGGCGTTACAATTTTCTGTGTTTATTTTGCTTACCCAGAGTTTCCAGGAAAAACCACAACTCCAAAATCGCCCCAGACGGACGTGTAGGCTTCAATATACTCATCTGGAAAAACCAGATCTTCGTATTCTGTCCAACCATTAGTTAAACTTTAAAATATAAAAGAAAAGTGAATTGAAATAATAAAGAATAATAATGAAATTTATATATTCCACCTGAAACGCTCGACTGAAGAAGTACTCTCGAAATTATGAAATCATTCTGGGAGCCATCACCGGATACCCTTTAGTTATTGATCTTTAGAATCGTCCCATACATGGACAATCTTCATGATTAATTTCAAAAGCGTATCCAGGGGATGATCTCCAGAATAATTGCAATCTTCCTTTCATAGCCTGCGCCACTTATGAGAATCGGATTTCCTTTATATGTGGGTATTTGTCCCCCAGTGAAGCCATGTGTATTATTTGATCTCGGAATTTCCGTTGTCAGTATTTTTGATCCATCATATCTTAACGTTTACTGAATGAACAATTATTGATTGTAATAATTTTACCCTTCGACTCTGTTTGAATACCAATAATCATGAACATGATAAAGCATGATGTAAGCTTCCTTTTCGTCCTCAGTCGGTAGATAACCAACTGCTCCGTAGTAGCAATCGAACATAAAGGACACACCTTCAGCATTAACGATATCACAGCCATCAAGAATATGAGGACCGTATTCTAAGAAATTGCCATATTCATCAGTTGTGAATCCTCCGAACAGATAGTGTGTCCCTTTGTATAAAATAGAACATCCTTTCTTTGAATCAAACACGAGATTATCGGGACCATTATTGAACCATGAAACCTTCAAAAATTGTCGAGACAAAAAAATAATAAAAATTACCTCAAGATCAGTTGTGAAGCTTTTGAAGTTCACAAGCAATGGTAGAGCTGGAACGCGATGTCTTCTCATCACTAGAACAGCTCCCAGCTGATAAGAATCATTTCCTCCGCATTCGTAGTTTGGACAAGGACAGCCATTTGGGCACCCCCTCTCGCAAGGGCAATTTTCAATGTTTTCAGAAAACTCGAGAGTACATTGGTCGATACAAAGAGTATTCCCGGCGCAATCTTGGAAACAGTCAAATAGAACTTTTTCATAATCTTCAAGACACGTCACGTGATCCTCGTTGCTTTCCGGCTCCAAACAGGCATTGCAAATGTCGTTTGAACATCCTTCACATCCCCCAGGGCAGTCGATATGGCAAGGACAGCCATCAATACAAGCGAATCCTTCTCGAATGCAAATGTTCTCGCAGGAAGCATCACCGGAAAAACAGTTGCTCAAGCAGTTTGAAGTCGCATCCGCACAGTTAGTCGTGCAGATCTCGCCAAGATCAAGGTCCGTGCAAGTCTCGTTAAGCCTAGAAATCGGCTCTAGGAGAAGATCTCTTGTTGAAAAATCGTTGAAAACAGAAACAGAAAGATCCATCTTTTGAATACTTCAAATAAGCCAAATTAATGGCGACTTCTGAAACAGATGGCAAATTCTCAAAAAAGGAAGAAAATAATTGGAATATTTTTAAAATGAACGATTTTTGTAATCTTTTGACTTTCTCTAAAGACTTGTCTTTCCTCCAAAACTACCCTTATCAACAACGAGAAGTGAAAAATGCACGAAGTTGGATGCAAACTTGACCACAATTGTGACCACTGGTTTCAGATGAGGCAAAAAGGGAATAATTTAATAATTGACATTCGTTCAATTCTTCTCAGAAATGATTTAGTAGGCTCGAAGTGGCCTCGGATTAAGGGGATACCGACGCCAAATTGAACCGCCAAATGATAAATGATTGTTCAAACCAATCTCGGTTGCTAAATCTCCTCCTCTCAATCAAACCAAAAAACGGGATTTTTTCCAAAGAAATAATTATATTTCGAAACAAATTTTAAAGACTTTCGGCCCCTTTGAGGGAGAAAAAGGGCAGGGTAATCATTGAGATGGAACTTGGCGGGGTCTAACCTTGTTAGTGCAGAAAAATGAACCTTTTAAAAGTGTCTTTGATGAGCTGGAGATATTCCGACGCGGAACTAATCGATTCACGTGACCTGAATCGAACTAGACATAACTTTTTTATGCATAAAAAGAAATTTTTCGAAAAAATATCAAAATTTGTCGAAAAAAAAAGTTGAAATTTTCCGAAAAAAAATCGAGTTTTTCATCATTTTAAGCGTGTTTATCCACTACTGTATATTCAATTCTGAGTTGAGCTTTTGTTGTTTTTACATTTTTAATCCGAATCTGCCAGAAAAAGAGGCAGAAAGTGCCAGAAAGTCAGATCGTCTGGAAGTTATCCCGCGCGGCATGTTTTCCAACACCTTGCAAATCGTTTTAATTTTGCATCTCGCGCACTCAATCTTTGTTTTTCGCCACTTGTGAATTATTTACAAATGGGAAATTAAACATCCACAATTTTAAGAGGGCAATAAACAAGTTTTATACAGTCTGTCTTCAATTTAAGACCACCCTTAATTTCAAATTTCTCTGAAACATAGTTGTTCTTTTAATGACTGTATTATTGAGTCAGTACTGTAATCTCGCAAATAAAAAAAAAACAGTAAAAGCAATATTCAATGAATCGTGATCATTTTCGACTCAAAAATTTTTTTCTCAGCTCAGCCACGTGACCACAAAAACGTCGCAAAAATGACCCTAATTCGCGCCTGCCCTAAATCGCCATTTCCGTCATTGAAGCAAACAAGCAAGAAGAAGGTTGTGATTTGGCTGCCACAGGCATCCAACTTTCACGGCTTTTATGATATTTACTGTCCGAGAAAGATGACGACAGAACTTCCGGGAGACTGTCTTTTGCAAATTTTCCCAACAATAAAAAGCAGCCCATAAGGGGCTATCAGATGAGATAGGGAACTTTGATTGACCCCTGCTTGAAATGGCTCGCGTGACCTTGGCAGCTTGACATTGCGTGACATTTGAGAGGACAGCCAGATGTATCCGATAAATAGGAAACGCACGTGAGTAACTTGGCCCCGGTTTTATTGTTCCGAGAAAATATAAACATCGCTTTTTGGCAACTTCCATTTTTCAGGCTCCAAAAAGTCCTGTTTTTTATTTAGTGGCGATTTTCAGACTAGAATTTTTTTTTTAAAACGATTATCAGATGTTCCTTTATTTTGAAGATTTATTGTTATCGCATTCGATTTCAGCGTAAAAAGAAGCCTTAATCTCTTTGAAATTGTGAATGCGATTAAAATCAGCATTTCCTCCGAGATTTGAAAAAGACTCAGTTCCGAGTCGCCGCGTTTTCCAGCGCCAAATCCGGCGTTAGAAACGTTGTCCAAAGTGAGGATTTTCAAGCATCTGGAAAGATCACGTGTTCAACTCAAAACTTGGTTCGAGCAAGATTATTGCTTGTCTAAAATAGCTGATAAAAGAGGCATCTTTCTGATAAGAGCCGCCCAGAATTTTTGACGTTTTCAAATAAAAAAATTAAGGGTGTCCATTGCTAAAATAAGGGGCACCCATTTTATGTGTTATCGTGTCCTGTAGTTGCTCATTGAGTCAGTAATAACACGGCCTGTTTTGACCTATTCGGACAATTAATTAAACCCTGGCTCCCCATCTGCGCCCATATTAACCCTCCGCCGCGCAAGATGTTACACAAGGGACCTTTCGGGTTAATCCCCAGATCAGATTCAATTTCGCTTCTTGTATTTTCCCGAAACTGCTGCGCAAAAAGGTCGCTTGAAATTTTCCAAATTTTCAAAATTGGCTCAGAAAACGCTTCTGACGAGGAAAACATCCAACGGACAAAATGGGATCATTTCTTTTTGGACACGAAATCTTGTTTGGAACTTCCGCCGCGAAAATGATAATCTGGGGAGCGATTTCCTGAGTATCGATATTGGATCGAAAAAGTAATAGCTTCGATGAAAAAGGGGTGGGAAGAAAAATTTGCTTTATAAAAAAAGGGATGAATATTCAAGATTACGTAATCGGTCAGTGTCGGATTGACTGTCACTTTTTCCCAAACGTGTCGGAGACTTGAATGCGGCGATTATGGGCATTTTGGGCACTAGAATGGGCACCAAGTTGCATAAGTGCCGTCGCTTCCCACAAGAGGGCGCATAATCGTGACAGCTCATGAAAGGGCGACAGCTCGATAGAAGATGGACTGTGCTTAATTGGCTTTTTGAAAAATCTAATTCGAGCATTGTAAAAAGAAGCGTCCTGATTTAACATTGAAAACTGTAGTTTTTAAATTTCTACAGCGGCATCTCCCAATAACGAAAACTTTTGATTGACCAATCAGGAAGCTCGAAATCATAATTTGTTATATCAAGATGCTTCTGTAGTCTGTTTAGTGATAATCTTACTTGATAAATCTAAAAGTTGAATCATTTCACTAACGCCCATTTGGATTGACCAATCAGAAGGCTGAAAAGAAAGATGTCACTATTGAAAAATGGCGCTGTAGTAGGTCGGTTGAAATTCGAGAAACAGAAGTTTTTTTTCGTGAAAAATCGCTCGCGTCAAAAGTTATTAGCTATAAATATTAAAACGTTATAATTTGTTATCAATTTGCGGCTGGGCGCTAGTTTTTTGGTACTGCGATCATGTCGTATTAACCTCAGTGTTTTTACTTTCTGCGCTGTCCTTTTTTTTGTTGAGCTTCAAGTTGAGCTTTGAAAAAGAAAACATAATTTTTAATAGTCATCGCACCAAATTCAACCTTTTCGGTTCGGGCGTTGGCGCAACAGAAAAAGGGATGATTTCTGTCTCCGGTCGAAAATCCGCGAATATTCACCCCCGTTTTGGGCACAACAAGCCGCTTTACTTTGAACAAACCGTAATCAGATAAAAACAAGAAAAAATTACAACGCCTTGAATTTTGAATTTTCGAAAAACTTGAAATTGGATTAGTGCCCTTTTCAATTTTCACAAAACAAAAAGATGCAACGCGAAAATTTGAAATTTCTTCTTTTTCATTGAAAAATTACTGTAAAGCGAAAAAAGCGAAATAGCCAGTTTTGCGTCCAAAGAAACGTCGAAAAGAATGCAAATAGAAAAAATGTTGGAAATGTCCGTTAAATGACTGGCCTCGCTTCCCAACTGTACATATCAACGTGATTTTTGACAATGTAAATATTTTACATTCGCGAGCGCCGGAATTTTTTCGTAAAATTAATGAAATCCCAAATCCCAAAAGTACTGTTTTCTTTCGAATACGTATTCAAAATGAGCAGCGTCGAAAAATGGCGAAATCGATGTTGATACCCTTAAGTAAAAATGACTAATTTGAAGCTTTTCTGAAGCAATCACAGTAATTATTGTCGAGAATACTGTGATTGCTTCGTAAGAGCTTCAAAATTGTCATTTTTTCTTAAGGGTGTCAACATCGATTTCACCATTTTTCGACGCTGCTCATTTCGAATTCGTATTTGAAACAAAACGGTACTTTTGGTATCATCTCAAGTGTGACCGGCGTATTTCCGGCTATCCCGTGAATTTGCATCTCGAAGAAAAAAAAATGCTAATTTCTTGAGCCGAAAATTATTGTCCCCCAGCTGCTCATGCGTAAACAGCGAGAAATAAGCGAATCTCAGTGAAATTTTATCACTTCGGGAATTAACCCGACTAAACAGACACTATCTTTATGGCTTTTTTAGAAAAGCCAGCGTTTCCTGCAATTTTCTCAAGAAATTCTAGCGCCCGGGTTTTCAAGAAAACCCAAGCTAAAAATTGAGTTTCTAAAAATCGATTCGATGATAATTTATAATTAAATTTCAGATTTGAAATTTCGTTTCAACCCTTTTACGTGGCGAAAGAATGAAAACAAAGGCCGAGAAAAAAGAACGGTTGGTTTTAGAAAGTTCTGCGTTTGTTGCTTTTCTTACCAAAATATATGCGGTCAGCACGAGTGGGCCCACTCTCAGCCCCTACTGACAGCTCTAGAGTGGCTCGAATCTATGTTTGGGTTGTGCCATGCGTGGAATCATACATTTTATAAGAAGTTGTTCTTCGAACTCAGATTTATGAACTCGGAAATAGTCATTTACAATCAGAAGCAGAAAATGACCTTCTTTTTCGGATTAATTTAATGATGGCTTTATTGGATCGAGGGATCGATTAGAGACAAGGTGGAAACCCGTGTCGGATATGTCCACTGCGGTTCCGCCTAAAAAAGCGTGGAACATCTCAAATGGTAATTAACACTATCAATTTTCTCTTCTTTTTTCAAACAGATTTGATCAATCATCTCTTTTGCCTGTGGAAGTGTCTGGAACCGACAAAAATTTCGACAAATTTTGCGTGGAAATTTCAACCAATCAGAAGCCTGGATTCCGCAAACCGGCCAGTCAGCAGCCGAGGAGCCGCCCACGCAAAATTTGTCGATTTTTTTGACAGAAAAAAATTTTTCAAAGCAAGCCCCTATCGAAAAAAATATTTTTGAAATTTCATCCCTTATCATC